CCCGAGGGGGGGGTTTCGGGTTTTTTTTTTTTTTTTTTTTTTTTTTTTTCGGCGAAGGTAGGAAGGGGAACGGCACGGTTGACGGATCAATTACGTTATCGCGGATCGGCGAGTTTCTCTCGCTAGAAAGTTACCGGGCTCGTCGAGTCTCTCGTGGGTGGTTCAGGCTGTTGAAGTTACCTGAGAGGGCGAAAGTCGCGACCTCCGCGGGCTCTCAGTGGGACACGTGAGAGGGTGCGCGACACGCGAGCACACTCGAGCCCAGCCCGGGAATCAACTGGTTCTCCTTCTCTCTTTGTCGCAGAAAAACGAGCCGAATGATGTTCAATTGACAAAGACCGCACAGCGCTAGGAATGGCCCCCTTCAATTCCGTCTTCCTGGGTGTCTGGGGAGTGTTCGTTGTCATTTTGATACAAGGTACGCATGTCAATACTGCTACGTTATCATATTTCTTCTCTTTTAGTACGTAAGATTTCATCTTGAATCGTATAAAAAGATCTTGACATATCTCCATTATTCACCTGGTTCTTTACCGTTCCATAAAAATTACTTTGTTAGTAGATTTTCTTGTGTTTTTTAGTACATTAAAATTATATTATATAAAATAAAAATATATATACTTGTTTCTTATATGTATATATAAAAATTAGTTTAAATTATCTGATCATTTTTTTTTTTCTAACACAGATTCGTACATTAGTCGATATTTTATATATGCTGTTACAATTACGATTAAAATTTTGTATAACTTCAACATTGAAAAAATGTTTCCCTCCGAAAAGATTAGCTGTGGTTCTTTGGTTGAGTAACAATGTGCTATTAGAAGTGATTAAGAAGTCCGATACATTTACCTAATGCGAATCCATTTACACAAAGAGCCCTTTGTCCTACTTTAACATGAAACGATAATTTAATCCAGTATTCACAAAGTTATTTCGAATTATCGGATGTGTCTCGTGAAAATCATGATGCTCGTTAATAACGAAACGTTTGCAGAATCGACACCCGTTAGCTGGGAGGAATGGTGGACGTACGACGGTATTTCCGGTAAGACATCCGAATCGATTGTTTTTAGAATCAATATTCCGATAATATTCCCCTCTTATTGTCTAATTTGTCTTGTAAAAAAAAAAATTAATCGCATTTTCAAAGGTCCTGCCTTCTGGGGTCTTATCAACCCGGAATGGTGGCTTTGTAACAAAGGTCGAAGACAATCACCGGTCAATCTCGAGCCTACTCGACTGCTTTTCGACCCGAATTTACAACCGCTTCATTTAGACAAGCACAGAATTAACGGTGTACTGGCGAATACCGGACATAGCGTGGTATTTGCCGTGGAGAACGACACCCGTCATCCCGTCAATATCTCTGGCGGTCCGCTCAGTTATCGTTATCAGTTTCACGAGATTCATCTGCACTTCGGCGCAGACGATCGCATCGGCAGTGAACACACCGTCGATGGACACGCTTTTCCTGCTG